GGTACCTGGTTGCTGTGCGGCATCCCGTAGAGAGCCTCCACCAGGTCAGCTGCCCGCTTCAGCAAGACCTCCTGGGCAGAGAGTGGGACGGGGCTCAGGAGGAGCTGCACCCCACCCCATCTACACATGGGGGACATGCAGACACCCTGCCCCATCACCCTGCCGCATCCCCACACCAGTGACGTGTCCCCATGCCAGCGCCTGCCCAGAGTGCCATGCGATGCCCAGAGCCCCAGCCCAGCACCCCACAGCAGACCCATGGGGCTGGGACCCACGGGGTCCATTGCACCCACCCATGTCCCTCCCTGTGTCCCCCCATGGACCCTCATTCCCCTGGGTCTGCTGGGGCAGCGGAAGCAGCACAAACACCCCCCCACACACAGTGGGAGCTGAGGGTCAGGGTGCCAGGCCAGCCTGCGGGCTGCACCCAGCTCAGGGGGGTGGTGCAGGGGCTCTGTGTCCCCCTCCCTGTCCCTTGGTCCTCTGGCACTGCTAGGGAAGACCTCTGTGTCTGGGCAAGGTGGTGTCCATCACCCATGGGTGATGGCGTGTCCCTGCTGGGGGTTATGGAGCACGGCAGGGAGGTACCTGGTTGCTGTGCGGCATCCCGTAGAGAGCCTCCACCAGGTCAGCTGCCCGCTTCAGCAGGACCTCCTGGGCAGAGAGTGGGACGAGGCTCAGGAAGAGCTGCACCCCCACCCCATCTACACATGGGGGACATGCAGACACCCTGCCCCATCACCCTGCCGCATCCGCCTCCACCAGGTCAGCTGCCCGCTTCAGCAGGACCTCCTGGGCAGAGAGTGGGACGAGGCTCAGGAAGAGCTGCACCCCCACCCCATCTACACATGGGGGACATGCAGACACCCTGCCCCATCACCCTGCCGCATCCCCACACCAGTGGGCTGGGGGGGCCTGGCAGGATGGGTGGGGGGGTGGTACCTGGTTGCTGTGCGGCATCCCGTAGAGAGCCTCCACCAGGTCAGCTGCCCGCTTCAGCAAGACCTCCTGGGCAGAGAGTGGGACGGGGCTCAGGAGGAGCTGCACCCCACCCCATCTACACATGGGGGACATGCAGACACCCTGCCCCATCACCCTGCCGCATCCCCACACCAGTGACGTGTCCCCATGCCAGCGCCTGCCCAGAGTGCCATGCGATGCCCAGAGCCCCAGCCCAGCACCCCACAGCAGACCCATGGGGCTGGGACCCACGGGGCCCATTGCACCCACCCATGTCCCTCCCTGTGTCCCCCCATGGACCCTCATTCCCCTGGGTCTGCTGGGGCAGCGGAAGCAGCACAAACACCCCCCCACACACAGTGGGAGCTGAGGGTCAGGGTGCCAGGCCAGCCTGCGGGCTGCACCCAGCTCAGGGGGGTGGTGCAGGGGCTCTGTGTCCCCCTCCCTGTCCCTTGGTCCTCTGGCACTGCTAGGGAAGACCTCTGTGTCTGGGCAAGGTGGTGTCCATCACCCATGGGTGATGGCGTGTCCCTGCTGGGGGTTATGGAGCACGGCAGGGAGCACGGTACAGCATCTGCGCCCAGCCCCGGGCAGGGGGTCCCTACCTTGGGCAGGCGCTCGGGGTCCCCAGGGTGCCGGGGGATGACCTTCTGCAGCCGCTGGAACCCGTAGTCGATGGTGGGCTCGTTCAGCGCTGCCGAGAGAGGGGCACTCAGCGGCTGCTGTGTGCGGGACCACCCTGTCCCCCCCTGCCCTGACCCCACGGGGAAACTGAGGCATGGACTGTGGGGCTCAGGGTTGAGCTGGGGCAGAGCTGGGAGGGAACCCCACCTCCTGCATGGACACCTCAGCTGTCCCACCTACCCCTGACCCATGCCAACAGCCCCTGCGCCCCTTCCTCTCCCACTCCCCTGTCTGCAGCCGCAGCCCCCAGCCCCACTGCGGGGGTCCAGAGTGCTGGAGTGGGGCAGGAGCTGGGGTGACATGGAGCAGGGCATGAAGCCAGCGTGAGGACAATGTCCAAGCCAGTGGCAAGATGCTATGGCACATGGCACACAGCCACAATGGTGGCACCGGTCCTCCCCTACACTGTGCACTCTGTCCTGCCCACCTCACACACGTGTGCATGTCCCCGCTCACCTCACACAACATGCACGGGGCCCCTGGAATCACTACCTGGGGGGTTTCAATACTGTTTTGCCCTCACCCCATCACCCCATTTGTACCCCCAACCCTGTCCCTGCCAGCAGGTCCTCCCAAGTCACAAAACTACCCTGCCCCTAACTCTACCCCCTACCCAACCCTGTCCTGCCCCAAACCTTTGCCCTACGCCCGTCCCCTTGCATCCTGCCCATCCCCTCACCCTAACCCTGCTGTGTAGCTGCTGTTGGGGGGATCCCTGGGTCAGGGTAGGGTTGTCTCCAGGGGCTGGCAGTGAGCACAGAGATGCTCTGGGCATCGTCCTGGAGGTCTAGGGTCCCTTCGCCGGGGGTCTGCTCCCCTCCTCACCGGTGTAGACGAAGCGTCCTGGGGCACCCTTGCAGAACTGCTTGGACTTGTAGGAGAGCGTCACCTCCACCACGCCGGGGATGTGTCGTGGGGGGGTCTGCACCCGGATGGCGTGAGGCGTGATGAGCTGCAGGGTGAGACAGGGCTCAGCCCGTGGCCGGGGGAGGTCATGCCAGCCCCCTGCCACCCCTCCATGCACCCCCCCTACCTCGCTCCACACCAGCATGGTGCCGAAGACGACCTGCAGCCCATCGAAGAAGTTGTCCCCGATGACGATGACGGTGGCACCTCCGGTGGTCCAGCCCTCGCTGGGGCTGATGGCTTTGATGCAGGGGGTGGCTGCTTCGGGCGGGAGGGGAGAGACAGGGCAGCAGTGAGTGTGGGGGC